AGTCGGAGTAAATGCCACACAAGCTCAAAATTATAAAGCCCCATTAATGGGGCACGAGAAACAACGAAAGCTCTAATGCAAATAAAATAAAAAAAAGGATTAAAAGAAACACGTCAAAGAAACACAACAGATACAATTTTGAGGAGCAAACCTTGGCAGCGCCGGAGCTGCTAGGAATAATGTTAAAGCTAGCAGCTCTACCACCCCTCCAATCCTTACTTGAGGGCCCATCAACAGGTTTTTGGGTAGCCGAAAGGCAAAAAAGCAAAATTGTTGAAGCTCGATGAGTGACAGAATTCAACATTACCATAGATGTTTCACAGAACATTTACCAGTAATTGCATGTACTGTGGTCATCAAACCCTCAATGATACCAAATTGATGACCTGCCAAAATTCACACGAGATAAGCTCCAGTTGCTTGGGCATCCTTGCTAGGAGCATCCTTGCTAGTTTACGCCCACTACAAACATAGGAGCATCCTCGCTAGGAGCAGAGATAATGACCTTCTTGGCACCACCCTGTGTGATCATGGGAAGCGACCTGATAAGAAAACTCATTTTTTCTATCCTGGGAACCATGAAGACAAAGGAGTACAAATTCCAAAAGAAAGTTGACCAGTGTTTCTCACATTGCCATTAATATGAAAACGCCAGACGAATGACTCCTACCACAAGTTCACATGAAGAAATTCCAGCAATTACGGTCTAATTCACGCAGGGTAAAAACGTGTTCGAGGGTACACACGGCTTTAAAATGCCACCAATCTGTTTGATAAGGCTACTGCCACTTTTAACGACCGTACAAATCATATATCATTTGATGACGAATCCATCCATCAGCCTCCGTTCGGTATCTCGATGGTAGCCCATCGTTCCTGCGGCACACATCTTTTTCTGTATCAAAGCAGGAAGAATACTAATACGAGTAACAAGTACCAGATGTTTATTGGGCAAAAGGACGAAACTCGGAGTAAAAATTCGTTAGATACACCAATCTTCCCTTCTTTTTATTCATTCTTTAGGAAGGAAGGATGACTGTCAATCAAACCTTTACTGACATGCGTAGATCCTCACGTAACCCAATTTTATAGTCATGTCAGATGCGATTAAATTCGTAGGATGCTACTAATCGACCGATACACTTGAATGCTGATGTGAACAATTAATCGCAAGATTTTGAATATAAATCTCATAATTTCGTTCATTTATATTAAAATCCCCTGGATTCACAAGTTTAATATGTCAAAATAGTTTTGAAAAAAAAAAATTCACTAATATTTAATTCTCTGCTTTTGCTCAACATCCGTTAACAGTTACACATAGCAGAAAGAAATCACATCCATCATCCCGAGAACTCAAAGTCTTCCATTTTCGGACTCGCTTCTCTGCTTTTGCTCAACATCCGTTAACAGTTACACATAGCAGAAAGAAATCACACCCATCATCCATTACCGAGTTTATCTTGCATTGATCTGTGATTTTAACGAAAGATGGGACAACAAACGGCTGAGGGCATCATACCATGTAATCGGTGGTGATGAAGGGATCGTTAACCGCGACGAGCTCCACGTCGCTGCTATGTAGAGCCACTCTCGCCACCAATCGCCCGAATCCTGACACATAGGATCACACATAATCCACGTCGCTAAACACGACATCGAAAATTCATCAAAATCCATCAAAAAAATGAAAAGAAAAAGATAAGCGCACCATTGATCCCGATCTTGATCTTCCCTGAAAGATTCAAGACAAACAAGAAGAAGAGGAATCAGATTAAACGATTCGAGAATGCAAGAGAGGATGCTTTACCCATCGCGAGCGAAGTCGAAATGAGAGAGAGAGAGAGAGAGAGAGTTATAAGCTAACAAAGAACGTGAGGGGCTCTGAGAGCGCTTATATAAGGTAGGAAAAAGATTTATGCCTTCCTAAAACGACAGCCGAGTATATTCACCGAGGCTCGTTACCAAAGAGAAAATGCGGGGGGGGGCCCATCGACGGGTTCAGCGACGGATGGGTTTATTTTTTTCCCTCTTCATTTCTTGTCATCTCCTCGTTCCGATGTTCTCGAGGAGCGTCTCGAAGCAGGATGGTCCGCCCTCGTGGACGCTGTTCATTGGCCCATTCACCGCAACGGTGGCCGAGCGCCGCGTCTTGGCGCGGAGCGGGCAAGACGCCGCAATGCTCACGTGGACGAACCGCCGTGAGTCACGTGAGCGTTGGAAATGCTTTGCCTCCGTTCTGTTTTGTCTGCGGAAAAGTAGCCGTCATTAGAATCATATGGAAGCGAGGAGGTAAAAGATACATAGCACACAAAGGAATCAATACATGATGAAAGGGAGGAAGGCAATGCAGAAGATAGCGCGTAAGAGAGAGAGAGAGAGAGAGAGAGAGAGAGTATTTACGGGTCTTTGTGTCACAGCCATCTCTTTCTTCTCCGACCATAGCACCATACCTGAGCGGTGAAGGTTTTCATTAGTGATAGCAAGATTTTCTTAGAAAATCTCTGTATAATGTTAAGGAAAATCTTCTATTCTGTTGAGGAAAATCCTTCCTCCTAATCTGTATAAATAGGAGAGGGACATGTTAATACATTCAAACTTATTCAATAAATCTTCTTAAATAATTCTTCTTATCTTCTATTCTTTTCAAACTTCTGCTTTTTCCTAATGTTCCTTTATAGCTCCAATGGCTTCCTCGACCCGTGGAGCTCTCTGTCCTCTTTCGAGAGTTCTCTAGAAGAAACCAAGTGAAATCCTAAGAGAATCACAAGAAAGAAAATAAGGAGGATGGTAGAATAATTTCTACATGTAGTTCTGTTTCATTAGTGGAAGAGAAGCTGTTCCATGATGCTGACTATCAATAGCCCGCCAAGAACTTGACAATGTATATTCCACATAAATATGTATTGAAATTCAAGTTAAGACATCTAATGTTGAATAAAATATGATTAATGATGCAAGTGTATGTGAAAGTCAGCACTTGAATGTATAACATTACTTTGCAGTCATCATTTGAAGTAAAATGAGATTAAATAGATTCTCGTATATGGAATAATATCTCGGTCTGCACTTGCGTTGGTAAAACAGATACTGTAATGGTTGCGTTGCATGTTTGAGTTATCAGTGAACTCAAATCAAGTTGGCGAACAAAATTCCTTCAAACAAGATCGTACCATGTCCTGATGGACCCTGTCATTATTTCTTCCTACAGTTCTAACTATTTTATCTGTTGAAAATTCTTCCTTACAATGTTCGATTGCCTTCTTCCCTGTATGTGTGTTTGGTATGCCGGCCATCACTAACAAGGATGTTACAGGTCCACTTATTTGGATAGAAAGTGATGCAAAACTGGTGAAGTAGTTGCATTCATTTGATAACAAGGTAGGATGAGATCAATCAGCGTAGGTAAACATGATTTAGTCATGGCACTACTTATTTTTCTTCGATATGTCCAACATTTAACGTGGAACCAACGGAAGAAGAAGATTTTTATAAAATAATTGATTAGGTCAATTCTAAAAAATGAAGCTAATTAAACTTGATCAAAGGAGCCTACTTTGAAGTTTTAAATCTTTCAAAATATATTGGTACTTGAGGAGTATAATATATGATTGCACATATCACATGACGATCTATAAGTACCAAGATCTAGTCAAAGACATCATGAGAAGACTATTTTCAAATAGCCTAAAGTTATCTAATTATTATTTTTTTACTTTTTTAATTATTTTACATTACTAATCAATTAATTTTCAAGGTCTAGAATTAGTATAAATAAAGATCCTCTCTAAATCTATGGGATTATAAATAAAAATAATATATTTTAAGTATTGTAAGAAGCTTCTCTAATACAAGGACTTAATTCTTTCTTCCCTCTTTATAAGCTTAGTTTGCTAAAATCATTTCTCATAGTATTTTCTTGATTTTGTTTCCAGAGCCTTGCTCTTGGTATTAGCATAATAAATTTGTGGTAAGAAAATTAAGAAATATATTAACTTATAGTGGATCTTATATATCAAAACGTACAACTCTATAGCCCATCAAGATGAAGTCTAATGAGAAGTGAAGCTTCTCTGACACAAGGACTTAATTCTTTCTTCCCTTTTTGTAAGCTCAGTTTGCTAAAATCATTACTATGAGCTTTGCTCTTGGTATTAGGATAATAAGTTTGTGGTAAGGAAATTAAGAAATATATTCACTTATAGTGGATCTTATGTATCAAAAATTTAATTTACAAAGTACTACTAGGCTTCCCCACCGTTGATTTTCTACTGCTCTAATGAGTTGTGCTAAAGTTTCATCAGACATAATGAGCTCAAATTGGGATATGAACATGCTATATGAATGCTAAATTATACAACCCAGAAAAGATTTGGTGTGTGAAGAAGAATACTCTAGAATTAAATGTTAGATATATGGCTTTCAAAGTTATGTATTTGGCAATGATCAACTAAATCATCATATGCATAAAAATCACATGTAGTCAGAAGAAAGATGAAAAGTTTGGATTCAATAAAGGAGGATAAATCTGGTTGGAAGAGAAGTGCATATAGTCTTAAAAATCTCATATAGGACTTCTTATCATAGATTTCATGAGAGGCAGAGACAAAAGGGTGAAGATCACACACCATATCAGGTCTGTGAGACCAGTTTCTGTGGTGACACAGCATTTTCTATTGATGACTAACAAAGTGATATCCACAATAACAAATAACCAAAAGAAGATCTAACCCTTCTTTAAATATTTTCTATTCCCTCATTCTGAATTCTGATAAAACTGCATATAATGATCTTGCTCAGATCCTACATTCACAGAAATTTCCTGTGATCGACCATCCTTTTTATTTTTATAGAGTATGTACAGACACATCTACTTCCTTCGTAGCCATTCTGGCTTGACAAACTCCAACCTTGCTAACCTGTTGCTTACTGGATTGTGCAAAATCTTGATATCCACTGTCAACAGCATGTCAACTCTTTCAAACATAGTAAGACAAATATATGCAAACATATTGGATATATATGAACTTCCTCCATAAAGAGACAACATTTTTGACCTTTCACATAAACACTACAGTAGCCTAATTCTCTGAAACTTTCATTCGCGTCGGTTATCTACAGGCGTCATAGGGCAATGCCACCACAACTTAGGGGTGCATTAAACTGCTGGCTATAGAAGAAATTATCCAGTTAGGCTTGCACTGCTACCACACCATGATGTTCCTAATACTTGCTAACAATTCTCAGTTGGACTATGTTTGATATATCATAAAACCGTAGAAAAAAAATAAAAGACTCCCGTAGCTGGGTTTCTGGTACCAGATATTCATATATTGATTGATTGCTAATCACTGAGCAATTTCATGCCCTGGTACATAGCACCTGGACGAAGATCATCCAGTGTAACGACATTTTTAAAGCTGCTCAACTCTCTTAGGCCAGCCCAACCACGGTGGGAGAGGAAATCACGGAAGTCATCTTCGGTGTAGAGTGTCTTTTCTTCAGTATGAACTGCAATGCGGTCAGTTTCTTCATAGATGCAAACTTTGATACTTATCCCTGAGAAAATAAAATGAATCAATCTAAACCTTGAAAGATGTGTGTGCACTCTATTTGCAAATAGAAACAGCAGATCAATAATTAAAGAGTTTGAATGAGAAAACAGGAATGAAGAATTTTAACAAAGTGGAAGAAACTAAGAATTGAGGAAAAAAATCATAAATTGTAAGTAAACAATATTTTTCTACATTATTTAGAAAATGTTCTGTGCATTGACCTGTGCATGCACTCAACACTCATAGTCATGAATGAATCGTATGGAAGTTATAATACATGTAGCCAGTAAGATAATTCAAACTAATGAACAAGAAAGATTATTTATTGGAAAATACCCTAATATAAATTTTGGTGAATAATTAGGTAGCACCAATCAGTCCCTTGTATTTTTGAAGTTTAGTGCATTACTATCATATGACCTTTCACAAATCTCATATTCATATGATCAACCCTAAATAGTTGGGATATTACGGCTTTGTTATTATTTTATTAGCATTATTATCAACACAAACAAGCACAATGGTAGTTGGAAAAGCAAACTTTTTCGATGCTGTATTAGAAATAGTACTCAATCAGAGTGTTCTGTATTTCACTCTCTTGGGCCTTGAACCATGACCTTTCACAAGTTGACAATGTTGACTTCTTAAGCATTAAGCATTAACCATTTCCACCCATAATTCAATAAAAGCCTTGAGTTTACACTATGAAGAAGTAATCATCCGTGATTTTCATTATTCATGATGAGAAGAACATCATGGTCATTAATGCAAATAAAAACTGGGCTAGGTTACTTCAAAAGGTAGATGAAGAGTTTGACAGTTCTGATTTCAGATAAATAAGATCCTGATGGTGCTAAAAGTGACAATGAAAGGATGATAAGATGATGGAAGGCAAGGGGATTACTGTTGCACTTGAGATGCAGGAGAGAGAGGATCTTATCATAAGTTAAGATACTTGTAGGCCTGCTCATCAAGGAACTTTGTACATGTAGACATGGTTTATACCATTTATAATACTAAAGAAGAAAAATGGTTTGAGGCTTGGGTTCCACCATCTCAATATATATAGCCATAAGATATAAAAAGAAGGAAAATCTCTACCATATCTTATCAGCTTCCTATATCAGTGGACCACGTGCAAATCATGTCCGCTAAACCACATTCCAGAACCTTTCAACAGTTCTCAGAATACTCTGACATTCAAGACACGCACTGAACATTAGGAAGTATAAAGAGTGAATCATCAATTACACTACCTTATAGTGGTGTTGAGTATGATATTTGTTTAGGCAAAATTTATAGTAGGTCACAAACTAATAATCAACTTTTTCATGACTATGGGTTAGATGGCTAGGCTCTCCTGTGCAACAAGTCGAACACTCACTGCACTATGCAATCTTGCCACATGGTCCTGACACGGTCAAAACTGGCCCTTCTGGACCAATTTTGCATGCTATGGAAACTATGAATAAGGGGACCAATCCTCAGCACCTTCGAACCCTTCGGATTGCATAGAGCTAGATATGCCTCCATGTAGCAAATTGATTACTAGAGCCATCTGCATAACCGCAACATGGGCAAACTTGCTGGTCTTGGACTGTTTTCGAACATTGTGGTGGCTATGGTATTTCAAGTGAAACATCAGCCATCTCAACATCCTTGAGATCCTCGGGTTGTCACGGACAGCCGTCATGCGCCAGCAACACCTTCGTCCATGGACTGTTCGTCACTTTTGTTTGCTTGCACATTTGTTTGGCAATATATTTTGTCTTATTTTTGTATGTTTTTACTTAAAAACTGTAAGCAGGAATAGTTTGCAGAGCTACAGAGCGAACGCTCACCAAAATGGGCAAAACTGACCCAAAATGTCCCAATTTTTGCATGTCATGGCCTGCTTTCTACAGACTAAAGTACGGTGCGAAACGTCAACCATCTCAGTATCTTGGAACCACCCGAGTGGCACAGGGCTTGATGGGGGTGTGGAGAAATGTTGTGCATTGATTGGATTCACAAGTTCGCTTGTAACACCTACGAGGACTTGCGAATACACCTGACAATCGATGCACAGTCATTAGTGGACTTGCGACTATTCGCTTGCCTTGTAAAGTCATTGTTTTCCCTTCCTCTCTTTTTTCTCTTGCACACCAAGTGTTTACTGAATTGCTTGTAGGTCCACCACTCATTTTCTGAACTATTCTATTTGCTCTTTTATAGGTCCTTTGGGACCTAAGCAAGGTTGCATCTAGGCTGGCCTTTTACGGACGGATAATATAAAGGTGCATCATAGCTTAGGCAATACAAGTTAAGTCCGTGACATTTGGTATCAAAGTGAGCAAGTGATTCAAGCAATAGTGAAAGTTTGCAATCTCGCCATGACAAAGCTCTAGTAAATCGAGCAAGACGGGACAAGCTGGGCCATTGCCCCAAGCAACCGCAAGTGGGTTGCAACTGCAAACTTGCACTCAAGTTGTTGGAGTCGCTTAAGAGGAGCACAACAATGAGAATGGTGAGCGAGAAATTGGCTATTCTCCATGAGTGAAGGAAACACAATCTGGAGCGCCAATTGGAAAACATAAGTCATAAGGAGAGGCTTATTGCTATAGAAACCCAATTCGATGTTCTTTAAGCAAGCTTAGAGGAACTCTACCTAGAACAACGAAGGCTTCTTGGGATAGAAAACTCGCAAGAGGAGACAAAATCTAGGTTGAGTCCCGAGTCAAGCGATTGATAGAAAACACCAACGAGTCCATGCAACACCTACAAGATGTCGTGGCAGACCTCACGACAAAGATTATGTTGCTCACAAGGGCTTTTCATACAGGGGAAAACAACACCCGCATTGCTCCATCGCAAAACTTGAAGGCACTCGAGCCGTAGTATTACGGTGGGGCCAGGGACGCGAAAGAACTCGAGAACTTTCTGTTTGACATGAAGCAGTAATTCCAAGCAACGAAGCCCAACTCGGAAGAAACCAAAGTTTCGATAGCAACCATATATTTGAATGGGAACGCAAAACTCTTGTGGTGGACGTGATGAAGAAATCCAAAAAGGCGATGTCGAGTGGACACATGGGAGGACTTGAAGGGGAGTTGAGAACTCAATTCCTACCTGAGAACACTAAGTTCGTGGCATGAAGGAAATTGAGATAACTCTGTAATAACACTTCCATCCGAGATTATGTGAAGCAGTTTTCAACATTAATTCTAAACATACACGACATGTTTAAGAAAGACAAGTTGCTCAACGTTCTTTATTGCCTGAAGCCATGGGAGCAACAGGAATTGCATCAATAGAATGTTACTGATTTAGTCGAAGGAATCGTCACTACTAAGAGGCTCACGGACTTTGTTTCCTTGAAGGGTTCGGGGAAGAAGAAATAATCTTCGGAAAATCACCCACCTAAATATTCTTGAGGGAATGAGTCTACACTCGACCCGAGCAAAAGAAAAAGAGTTCTCATAAGGGGCCAAATTCAAACGGCAAAGTCCCAAAGGTCGATAAATGCTATTTGTGTGGAGGACCGCACATAGTGAGGGAGTGCCCACAAAAACAAGCAATCAATGCATTGACAACATTAATCGATCCCCCAAGATCGAACACCAATGATGAAGAGTCAAAAGAACCTCGGATGGGAGCAATGTGTTTCGCGGGAGCCCACAAAAGCAAAGCAACAGAAGGCAAGGAGCAGTGAGCTGATGCGACATGGGAGTACCTAATTTGCTATAATCAGCTTGTGTGGATCTTACTGATCCTATGGTATTCTCTACAACCACAATGTTGTCTTATAACCTTAACCCAACTCACTCAAATATGATAGCTCATGGGCATATTCCTTAAACAAAGTTAAAATTGTTTCAATATGTTTTTCTTCATAACTAAGTTATGCACTAAAAGGATTAGTTACTAACTGTAAAATACTTAATTTCGTAATTTCCTATGCATGAAGGGTTGTTTCATACACAAGTACTTATTTTAGTGTTTTGGGTTAGAAAAGAGTTTAGGAACTAATGATATTGGCAGAAGCTCTATTGGAGTTCTCTCTTAAACTCTGTATCTCTTAGATGCTTTCTTGAGTGGTGAGTCTTTTGTTTTCAGTTCTGTATCCTTGTTTATTATCCTTGGAGTGGTGAACTTTCTGTATCCCTTTGTGATTTTAAACTTTGTGTGAGCTATTTTTCGAATTTATTGAAGTATTATTGTGAGTTCGTTGCTTTTCTATCTGAAAAACTTATTCTAGCAAATACAACTGTACTATCGACTTTCTTTCAAAATCTATTCTGCATTACCCCGATATCAGTTTGGTACTAGAGCTAAATGTTAGAGATCATGACAAGGCAGAATGGCAAAAATGTAATTGGTGAAGGTAGCGGCCATGAAGATGATGTTGATCCCTTGAGACTGCAGCTACGAAGATTGCTACATAGTCTATAAGAAAAAAATAAAATCATTGAAGAACTTCGAAAAGTAGAAACAACCAACATGAAGATAATGCTTAAAAGAATACTTCAGATGATGATACACCTCACTCAAGGGAGTCGGGAAGATTTCGGGCAAGGCATAGAGTCCAAGATGAGTGACAAAACAAATACAACCCAAGATTAGATATTCCGGAGTTTGAAGGTAAAATCAATGTCGATGACTTTATTGATTAGCTTAATACAGTGGAAAGAATATTTGATTTTCATAAACCACTATGACAAAAGAAGGTAAAGCTTGTAACACTCAAACCCAAACGGAATGCATCTTTTTGATAAGAAAATCTAAAGAAGCAAAGAGAACGTGAGGGGAAGAGTAAAATCATGACATAGGAGAAAATAAAAGGGGAGTTAAAGAGGAAATACTTATTTGACAACTATAAGCAAGAGATTTTTCTCAAAATCCATGATTTCAAGCAAAAAGATCTTAGTGTGAAATATGAGATTGCTAAAGCGGTTTAACTCCAACCATAGTGGTCTTTAAATGATGTGAGCAAGTTGGTTTTAAAAGTTGAAAAGCAATAGAAGT